TCTCTCTCTCTCTCTCTCTCTCTCTCTCTCTTTTTTTGTCTTTCCCTCCCGTCCCCTAATCTTCTACTTCAACTCCTCTCATCGATCCGGCGCAGGCCAACAGTCAGCATTGCTCCTCAAGCCAGACGTGGGCGGCTCAAACCTCTATTCAACGCGACGTGCCCTGATAATTTAACAACCGGCCTCTTCTCTCTCCGTGAATAGGAAGGAAATATTCTGTCTGTGCCAATGTGATACGCCGTACTTCATGGGCGATAAGTGCTCATTAACGAGACGTAGACAATCCTTGGTCGATGAGTTTTGGTGGGGGTTTTTAAGGGGTTTTGTTTTTTATAAAACTTGTTTTGCTGTTTTGATAGAAAAGGATAGTATAGGAACAAAGAAATGAATGGCGAAACATGATCGCTGTTGTATGTTTCAGATCTAGCATTTTATGATGATGATGGTGATGATTTGAATGATGATGATGATGATGATGATGATGATGTTGATGATGATGATGATGATGATGATGATGATGACTTGTTTCTTTCTTACGGGAGAGAACATTTGATACGCAAGACAGGAGATTTTAGAGAAAGAAGGAGACAAAACAATACGATAATTAACGAACAAACGAAAAGCGGCAGAAAAGGGGGCGGGGGGTTTCTCCTCTTAAAATGTTCTTAAAATGTGTAGTTTGTCCGTCCTGACAATACAAAAACAGGCAAGAAAGTTTAGAAAAAAGAAAAGACGTTTATTTATTTGCGAAGAGGGCATGTATTTTTCAAAACCCACAAAAACATATAGTCATACACATGGTGTCAGCGGCATCTGTGGTTTTGCGGTTAGACGCGTAGCTGTCGCACGCAGAAGACCCGAGTTCGATTCCCGAGTGTGGAGAGTTTTTATAGAGTACGTCGGTCTTTCTACTGGGATGTTGTATCCTCCTCAGCCAGGGTTAGCCTTTATAAGCAAGGTCGGATGCCCGCCTTCCAAATGATCTAAAGTGTGTCGTTACAGGCGTAAAAACACCTCACGCACGCACACA